ATTATGACATTTCGTCCAGGTTCAAGTGTCAAGTTTATTTTAGTTCAACCTTCAACCCAAGCGACCAGGATATGTCGCATTTACAAGAGTGAGTGAGTGTTGAGTGGGTGAGTGAGTGAGTAGGTGAGTGAGTGAGCGGGTAATTGAGTGGGTGAGAGAGTGAGTGGGTGAGTGCGCGAGTTGGCGAGTGGGTGGGTGAGTGGATGAGTGAGTGGGTGAGTGAGAGGGTGAGTGGGTGGATGAGTGGATGAGTGAGTGGGTGAGTGAGAGGTGAGTGAGTGGGTGAGTGAGTGAGTGAGCGAGCGAGTGGGTAAGTGGGTGAGTGAGTGGGTGAGTGAGTGGGTAAGTGGGTGAGTAAGTGGGTGAGTAAGTGGGTAAGTGAGTGAGTGGGTGAGTGAATGGGTGAGTGAGTGGGTGAGTGAGTGGGTGAGTGAGTGGGTGAGCGAGCGAGCGAATAAGTAAGTGGGTGAGTGAGTGGGTGAGTGGGTGAGTGGGTGGGTAAGTGGGTGAGTAAGTGGGTGGGTAAGTGGGTGAGTAAGTGGATGAGTGAGAGGGTGAGTTGGTGAGCGAGCGAGTGAGCGAGTGGGTAAGTGGGTGAGGGAGTGGGTGGGTGAGTGAGTGAGCGAGCGAGTGGGTGAGTAAGTGGGTGAGTGAGTGGGTGAGTGAATGGGTGAGTTAGTGGGTGAGTGAGTGGGTGAGCGAGCGAGCGAGTGGGTAAGTGGGTGAGTGAGTGGGTGAGTGAGTGGGTAAGTGGGTGAGTAAGTGGGTGAGTAAGTGGGTAAGTGAGTGAGTGGGTGAGTGAATGGGTGAGTGAGTGGGTGAGTGAGTTGATTGAGCGAGCGAGTAGGTAAGTGGGTGAGTGAGTGGGTGAGTGGGTGAGTGGGTAAGTGGGTGAGTAAGTGGATTAGTGAGAGTGTGAGTGAGTGGGTGAGCGAGTGGGTGAGTGAGTGGGTAAGTGGGTGAGTGAGAGGGTGAGTGGGTGAGTAAGTGGGTGAGTGAGTGGGTGAGTGAGTGGGTGAGTGAGTGGGTAAGTGAGTGAGTGAGTGGGTGAGTGAGTGGGTGAGTGAGTGGGTGAGTGGGTGAGTAAGTGGGTGAGTAAGTGGGTGAGTGAGTGGGTGAGTGGGTGAGTAAGTGGGTGAGTAAGTGGGTGAGTGAGTGGGTAAGTGGGTGAGTGAGTGGGTGAGTGAGTGGGTGAGTAAGTGGGTGAGTGAGTGGGTGAGTAAGTGGGTGAGTGAGTGGGTAAGTGGGTGAGTGAGTGGGTGAGTGAGTGGGTGAGTGAGTGGGTGAGTGGGTGAGTAAGTGGGTGAGTGAGTGGGTGAGTGAGTGGGTAAGTGGGTGAGTGAGTGGGTGAGTAAGTGGGTAAGTGAGTGAGTGGGTGAGTGAGTGGGTGAGTAAGTGGGTGAGTGAGTGGGTGAGTGAGTGGGTGAGTGAGTGGGTGAGTAAGTGGGTGAGTAAGTGGGTGAGTAAGTGGGTGAGTGGGTGAGTAAGTGGGTGAGTGAGTGGGTGAGTGCTCATCCTGCTGCCCACTGTCTGCTGCCTTTATTTTCTCTCTTCCCTCTCCCGTTCAATTCCATGTTCTCATGCATTACATCCTTGACTCCCCTTCCCGTGGTGGTGGTGGTGGTGGTCGTGGTGTACCACGTGTACAACGTTTTATAATTACTAAAAAGCCAATAAAGAGACTCCGGGCATTATAAAATAATCATTACTATTTCAGTAAATTATTCTGAACGACGCCTCTTCAACTCATCCGGTTACTGCCTAATTTATCTCACTCTCTGCTAAAATATTTACTTATCTCTTTATTGAACAGCTTTGCTTCCCCAAGCAATGCCTGACAAAAGCCCTGAACTATTTAAATATCAAAAGAATTAAATATTTAGATATACAGCACTGTATATACAACGCCGCGGTTGTTAGTCAAGAACAATATCATTATTTCCATTGTGTTGGTGACATTTTAGATGTCACGCGAGAACAATAAGAAGACAGCCGGGGGGGCGGGGGGGGGGGTGGAGACCGCCTCAATTAGTAGCGAGCAAAAGTGCAGCCCCCCAGACCGCCCCCCCCCCCAAAATAATAATAACGCAACGCAGCTCACGTTGCCAGCGACGAAACAACAGAAATCCGTCTTCTTTGGCTCTTTCGGTGAAGTCACGTGGAATGAAAATAAAATAATAATAATAATAAATTAATAAAATAAAACAACGCGATAAAATTTTCGGCCGAAACGTCGTGAGAATTTTTGTTGCGTTATTTTATTTTATGAATGTGTTATTTTATTTTATGAATGTGTTGTTTTATTTTATGAATGTGTTATTTTATTTTATGAATGTGTTATTTTATTTTATGAATGTGTTATTTTATTTTATGAATGTGTTATTTTATTTTATGTGTTATTTTATTTTATGAATGTGTTATTTTATTTTATGAATGTGCTATTTTATTTTATGAATGTGTTATTTTATTTTATGAATGTGTTATTTTATTTTATGAATGTGTTATTTTATTTTATGAATGTGTTATTTTATTTTATGAATGTGTTATTTTATTTTATGAATGCGTTATTTTATTTTATGAATGTGTTATTTTATTCTCATTCTGCGTGGCGACTTTACCGAAAGAGCCAAAGAAGATGAATCCTTGCAGTCACGAAAGCCTTAAATCGAAACAGAAATCCGCTCTACAAAGTCGCTCATCGCGAGAAACTAAATCTTGCCAAACAATGCGGCACGCGCCAGCAACAATTAAGAATGTTTTTTTTTACATTTAGCACAAACGGGTGGATTTAGTATTCAGAAATAGTAAATTATTTTTGAATCGTGAAGGTCACCCAATAGTTATACTATATGTTCTAGATTTGAAGCTTTCGTGACTGCAAGGATCCACATACTCTTTGGTTCTATTCGGTAAAGTCACGTAGTAGGTAAAAAAAATAAAACAACAAAAATCGCGACGTTTCGGCCACAACACAGGCGGCCTTCATCAGGTGAAGGGACCAGCCCTGTCTCGAAGACCGCGCTGGAGTGTTAACTAGTCATCAGAAGACACTCCTAAAATGTAACCTCCCATCAGGCCCCGTGGTGTAAGGGACTTCAGCCTGGCACCGCACGCGACGAAGGTGGATGGCCAGCACGCGCGACCCGGCCGCCTTTGTATCCCTTAGTGGCGCTGCGAATACACCGCACACGGCACTCAATGCGAGGCTGAATCGCCAATTTCGGCGGCGAGCCGCAGTCAAAGCGTGAAGCGCGCTAATCACTACGCTATACTGCTCCCCGTATTTCATGTTTGCAGAGACCCCCTTGACCTGCTTGGGATTCTTACCATCGGCCTTTAGGCCGAGCGCTGTCCAGACTACTTTGTTTTTATTTCACCGGGTAAGGTCCCACTGAGCTATGTAGCTCTATTTCCAGAAGCGACTTGCCCAGAAACGACAGCTCAACGAGGTGGCTTGTCGTCGTCGTGGAAATGCACAGCAACCAAATACTCGACAACACGTGCCGTTGATACTGAACGTGGAGAAAACAGCCGGAGAGATAAAAACACACGTGACCACGGGGGGAGAAATAGAGAGAGAGAGAGACACGCAAACTACAAATATACAAACAGCAGGCGTCAGAGTCGGCATGGAACCCACGAACCTCCTGCACACCAGGCGAGGGAGTTAACATCTCCTAGCCACCGCGGCGTCCACCTATCAACTGCGCCCCGCCCACATCCCCCCTCCCCCCACCCCTCCCTCCATCAAACTAAGAAGAAGAAGAAGAAGAATACAAAAAATCTCTCATTAAAATAAAATGTTGCCACTTTGGGCAGCCGAGTCGTCGCCGGCATGCATAATGTATGATCGCCACGGAATAATAAACCAACACCCGCTCGCGCCTATTAAGACGAATTTTTTGGCTCTGTGTTAAACCGCCGCTGTGTTTATCCGCGCGCGGTTGTGGAGCGACTTTCCGTGTTTTCTGTGTCTGTGTGTTTGTCTTTGTGTCTCTCTCTCTGTGTGTGTGTGTGTGTGGAGGGGGGGGGGGGGGTGTAGCGGTCCGCGCGAGTTCGATTCCAGCTCCCCAGTGGCGATGTTTACACACCGCACCAGGTACTCATTTGAGGCCCAGTCGACCTATGGGGAGGCCCAGGACCCGTTTAGATAACCGTCACCGGCGTCGGCCGTGAGCGGGAATCGAACCCGGGTCGCCGGGTTCGTAGCGCGACGCGCTAATGACTTCGCCACCGCTCCTCGTGCACACACACACACACACAGACACACACACCGACACCCATTTATCCGAGTGCCCGGTGGGACACCAGTTGAATCGCTCCAAACATAATGATCCCCTCTCGCATGATCTATCAATGCCTTATAAATGTCCGTGGGCGATTTTATGACGCCGACCTTGACCCCCCCCCCCCCCCCATTGCCTAAGTAATGTATGGATTATACGTACACGGGTAATTGGATAATCTAGTGCTGACAGACCGCTCTAATCATGCATTACGACCGCCCAGTGTCTCTGCCTGGAGTTGCAGATTCAGAGCCGCGGGAAGTCGCAGATTTGGCGACGGTCGTCGTTGGTGAGATGGTGGTGTTGAGTGATGGCGATGGTTCAGAATTTTCAGATACGTCAAGGGGACACCTCCCCCACCCCCCCCCCACCCCCCCCCCCGGCTTACCACCCCCATACTCTTTGGTTCTATTCGGTAAAGTCACGTAGCGGGTAAAAAAACGAAAACAACAAAAATCACGACGTTCCGGCCACAACACAAGCTGCCTTCATCAGGTGAAGGGACCAGCCCTGTCCCCTCCAGCGCAGTCTTCGAGACAGGGCGGCACACCCTCGGTCACGTGTCGAGGCGTCCCACCGCCTCTGGAGAGGCTCCAATCGTTCGCCACGTCATTTCCGGGCGCATCTACTACCCCGCGACCTCCTCCTCCTCCTCCTCCTCCGAGCGCGTTAACCGAGGGCCACCGCCACCGCCGCCACCACCGCCGCGCTCACATCTCAGGCCCACGTCGTGCGCGAGCTCCAGGCGGTAGACGGAGAGGCGGTTGGCACCCCCGCACACCGAGCTGCGCTCGCCCTTGCACTCCATCTTGCACTCCTCCTCGCTCACGTTGCGGCCCTGCACGCGGTGCCCGCAGTAGCACTCCGCCCCGAACTCCAGCCCCGCGTAGCGGTAGCCCCTACGGCGGGGGGGTGGGGGGTGGAGGGAGGGGTATGGGGGGGGGGGGTGCGAGATCGTGGGTCACGGTCGAGAGCAGTGTTCTTCATTGCAAGATGAATGTAGAACTTCCTTCGCACCGTACGTAGCCAAACGTGCTAATCGGAGGTGCGGGAGAGGCCCCCCGCAGCCACAGCGTAGCCTTAGCAGACTGATGGGGCGAGTGTCGGTAGCGGGCAGGGCCCATTCGCGGTGTTCTTCCATAATAGAGCTGTTTTTTTTTGGGTTAGATAGCGTAAATATATAAATGTAAAATTTGATTTAAAGCTTTCGTGACTGCAGGGATTCATATTCTCCCCACCACCCGACACAGCCAACTAGTAATGGTTGTCACGTAAACAGAACGTGGCCAATTCGTCACTAGTGCAGCACTAACCGGTGTGTTGGAGAGCCAAGCCACAACATTTACAATCCGAGTACGACGTTTCGCCGGTAATTACAACCAGCTTCATCAGGCAACAGCCAGATTTGTGGAGAAGTCCACATTAGGCATGCGCATTTATGTGAGCCCTTTGCTATTGCCCTTCCTGTCCACGGCGCGTTCTGTTTACGTGACAACCCTTACTAGCTGGCTGTGTCGGGTGGTGGCGGGGTTTTAACGACACAACATTTATATATTCATAAGCGATCTCAAGCCAACAAATAATCTATTGTGGATGATATTGGTCGCGAAAGCCTGCCACGTGTTAACCCGCAGTGTTCTTTACTGCAGGGCCCACGTGGGCCACCGGTGACCCCTGGTGACCTCTAGTGCGGCCCCTGACGTGTGCACCCACACCCAACAACACACGAATGGTGAAAGTAGCCTCCGTCATCGTCATCATGGTGCCGCTGTCACACCCGGGAATGGTTTCAGATGTGTGGGGGCAATCGCACTGACGATGTCCTCTCGGCGAAACTGAGTGGAGAACTCTGATTTAGACAGGTCGGCACACAACAAATTAAACACAAACAAATACAACACAACAAATACAACACAAGAAATAAAACACAAACAAATACAAAACAACAAATAAAACACAACAAATACAACACAACAAATACAACACAACAAATACAACACAACAAATAAAACACAACAAATACAACAAAACAAATACAACACAACAAATACAACACAACAAATAAAACACAACAAATACAACACAACAAATAAAACACAACAAATAAAACACAACAAATAAAACACAACAAATAAAACACAACAAATAAAACACAACAAATACAACACAACAAATAAAACACAACAAATACAACACAACAAATACAACAAAACAAATACAACACAACAAATACAACACAACAAATAAAACACAACAAGTAATACAAACACAACAAATAAAACACAACAAATAAAACACAACAAATAAAACACAACAAATAAAACACAACAAATAAAACACAACAAATACAACACAACAAATAAACCACAACAAATAAAACACAACAAATACAACACAACAAATACAACACAACAAATAAAACACAACAAATAAAACACAACAAATACAACACAACAAATAAAACACAACAAATAAAACACAACAAATACAAACGTTGCATTGTGTTGAATCTTCAAGCTAATGGGGTTCTCACCCAGTCACAACGATGTGTGTGTGTGCCTGTTAATGTGTGTGGTGGGGAGCGGTGGTGCAGCGGTTAGCGCTACGCTGCGCTATGAACCTGGCGACCCGGGTTCGATTCCCGCTCACGGCCACCACCCAGTGACGATTATCTGAACCGGTCCCGGGCCTCCCCTAGGTCGACTCAGCCTCAAATGAGTACCTGGTGCGGTGCGTAAATATCGCCACTGGGGAGACAAAGGCGGTCGGGCGTGGTGCTGGCCAACCACCCCCTCGTGTACCGTTCCGGCCTTCACAGGCGCTCGCTAACAGCACTTGCCCCTACAGTCTGTTACAGGCTACACGGGGGATCTTTGTCTTTTGTTAATCGGTGTCTAGTGGGGGAGCGACCTGTGTTCGATTCCCGCTCACGGCCAACACCAGCGACCCTTAAACATCTAGAAACCGTTTGGTGACCTCCGCCGGGTCCACATCTTTGCCTCGAATGAGTGGCCCTGTGCAAGTGCGTAAACATCGCTCGCTAACAGCGACTGACTCAGCATCACGGGGGAGCCATTGCGCACGGCAGGAGGAGTTGCCGCGGTTGGGGTTCGAGTGGCGAGGCGGTTTTGGGTCGCGATCATTTTCTCGCGCGATGCAATTGGAATGTCGTGGCCTTTCAGCGAGCACACAGACAAAGAGAAAGGACCCCCCCCCCCTCCCCCTACCTTGTATAGCCTTAACAGACTGCTGGGGCAAGTGCTGTTAGCGAGCGGCACCTATGAAGGCCGGCACGGCACCACGAGGTTGGGTGGGTTGACCAGCACCACGCCCGGCCGACCTTTGTCTCCCCAGTGACGATGTTTACACACCGTGCTCATTTGAGGCTGAGTAGACCTAGGGAAGGCGCAGGACCGGTTCAGATAATCGTCACTGTCGGCCGCGAGCGGGAATCGAACCCGGGTTCGTAGCGCGGCGCGCTAACCACTACACCACCGCTCCCCCCACACACAGACAACAAAGATAACAAAGATCCCCCATATAGCCTTAACAGACTGTAGGGGTAAGTGCTGTTAGCGAGCGGCACCTATGAAGGCCGGAACGGTACACGAGGGGGTGGGTTGACCAGCACAACGCCCGACCGCCTTTGTCTCCCTAGTGGCAATGTTTTTTTATCCACCGCACTAGGTACTCGTTTGAGGCTGAGTCGACACACAGACACACACACACGTCACCCCATCATTAATCACTTCTCCGCCACCATGTATCGCCACGCGCCAGTTTTGTTCCAATTGCCTCCCAGCTCACACAGACAGACGACCACACGAGTCGAACAGACACACACGGCGAGGACAGGCGTGCCACGTGCCTCGTGAACGTTCACACAGACGTTCACACAGACAGACGACCACACAAGTCGAACAGACACACACCCTTCGAGGGCAGGTGTGCCACGTGGCTCGTGAACGTTCACACAGACGTTCACACAGACAGACGACCACACGAGTCGAACAGACACACACCCTTCGAGGACAGGCGTGCCACGTGGCTCGTGAACGTGGCTCTTACACCGCAACCTGCGATCAGCACGGTTGGCTACGTGCGGTGCGAAAGAAGTTCAACATTACCCACGCACAACTCAGACACAACAGCAGCCTGCACCCCGACCCCCCCTCCGCCCCCCCCTCCCCTCCTGACGTCACAATGGGCGGGGAGGAGTGTCTCGTAATGGCCACCAATTTGTAGAAGTGTTTCACAACACACCCGCAGGAAGGAGCCGCCCGTTCCAGAGGTCACAACAATAATGTTTTTGGGATGAAATTGAATTTCCAACATCTCTCCCTCTCTCCCTCTCTCTCCACGTGGCCCTTGGGTCGCCAGTGACCGGGTCACACGCACGGAGGGCATTTATATATTTATTTATCTATTAATCCATTCGTCGCTGAGACGCCAAAAGGGCCGTCGACGAACGGACGTCGACCAACTCGGCGCCGCGAGTCCAACGGCGCAGTCGAACGAGAGCGAGTTCGCGTCTCGGACGCACCAAGCAAAAAAAAGGGGAGCCCCTAGCCTCGACATTTCAGCGCTCGGATGTCGGCGGCAGCCCCCAATGCGTAACGGGCGCTGCGGGGTTGAGCTCTCGCTCTCTCCCTCTCTCGCTCGCTCTCTCTCGAGACTTGCTTGCTGTTATAGGAATAGGTTTTACCCTTTTAACTGGCACAAAAAAACTGACTGCTTGCTGTTGCTGTTCGAGGCGATTCTAAAGGCTTGCAGCCACACCTCCGATTGGCGCCGGGGCTGGCTTACGCACGGTGCGAAAGGAGTTTCGACGAACAGTGCCGTGCCTCGCGTGGAAACGCGCGCAGCAACAAAACACACACACACACCTTGCGTCTAGCTCCACAGTCAAATGATAAGGGTACACAAAGGCAACGTTCTTAATTCATCCGCCTTTGAGATCAATTGTTCTTTTGCAGAAGGGCCCCTGCCACCGTCGCCGCCACCATCATCGCGATGATTGGTGGTAGTGGTGGTGGTGGTAGTGGTGGTAGTAGTGGTGGTAGTGGTGGTGGTAGTGGTGGTAGTGGTGGTAGTGGTGGTGGTGGTAGTGGTGGTAGTGGTGGTGGTAGTGGTGGTAGTGGTGGTGGTAGTGGTGGTAGTGGTGGTGGTGGTAGTGGTGGTGGTAGTGGTGGTGGTGGTGTTGGGGAAGCTCTCACCTAGCAGTTGATAGGCCATGGCTCAAGATGACGATGATCGATGGTGGCGGTACTATCGGGAGGTATTAATCCAAAAGTCGATAGAGCATGTTGATGATGATGATGAAGGTGGTGGCGTGGGAAGGTCGTGTGATTCCACAGTGGGTAACTCGCGGCACTTAAGGATGACGATGATGACGGTGGTGGTGGTGTTTGCGTGGGGAGGGGAAAGTTCCATCCAGCAGTTGATAGACCACGGCTCGTGATGACGATGGTGCTAGTGGTGGTGATGTTTGCGTGGGCAGAGTTCCATCCAGCAGTTGATAGACCACGGCTCGTGATGACGATGGTGCTGGTGGTGGTGATGTTTGCGTGGGCAGAGTTCCATCTAGCAGTTGATAGACCACGGCTCGTGACGACGATGGTGCTGGTGGTGGTGATGTTGGCGTGGGGAAAGTTCCATCCAGCAGTTGATAGACCACGGCTCGTGACGCTCATGGTGGTGATGTTGGCGTGGGGAGGTCCTCACCGTCTCAATGCGAAGGGAAGAAGCCACGCCCCCCCCCCCCCGAAGCCCCCCCCCCAAACTCACCCCCCCCTCACCCCCCTCCCAAGCTCACCCCACCCCCACCCCTTCCGCGCCTCACCGATCGGCGCAGTTGTCATGACACCGGAAGAGCGTCATCTTCCGGTAGTCGTAGAGCACGAGACCCTGCAGAGTCCTTTGCTTGGGATCATCAGCGAAGCAGCCCACGTAGCGAGCTGGGGGGCGGGGCGGGGGGGGGCAGGGGGGGGGGCATCTGTGAAAAGAGCTTCATAGCTCATCGGATTCCTCCGGTATACATAATTATTCTGATCCTGGACGAGATGAGACGGAATTCGAGGATAGGATGGGAATTCGAGAATACGAATCAAATCTGTAGTCCGAGTAAATAAATCGCTCCCCTTCCATCTTTGTCTCTCCGCGTGAGAAATGGTCATTAGAGCAATATATTTATACTAACCGTGAATTAAACTATTTTTTTATTTTGTTTATTTTTTTTTCACCAGGCAATGCCCACTGAGCTACGCAGCTCTTTTTCAGAAGCCACCTGGCCACCAGTGACAGCTCAACGTCACGTGGGGAGTTATAGCAGCAGCCAAGAATACTCGGGACGCACGTCCATTCTAAATGTGCACGGATCCGCAGAAAAATCCACGCGACCACGGGGAGAGAGACACGCACATTCCAAATACACTGCAGGTTACGCAGGCCATCGGCCACACGGACCCCCCGTGTAGCCTGAACAGACTGTTGGGGCAAGTGCTGTTAGCGAGCACGTGTGAAGGCCGGCACGGCACACGACGAGGGGGTGGGTGGCCAGCAACCACGCCCGGCCGCCTTTTATCTCCCCCAGCGGCGATGTTTACTACACACCTCACCAGGTACTCGTTTGAGGCTGGGTCGACCTAGGGGAGGCCCAGGACCGGTTCAGATAATCGTCACTGGGTGTTGTTGGCCGTGCGTACATCACCGTCATCACCAACCACCAATGGAACCGCGCAGGAACAGCAACGCCACGCGAATTCTCTCTCTGCTGAAGACCTCTCGTCGTGGCCAGCAGCAGCAGCAGCGGCGGCAGCATCAGCAGCGACAGACCTCAACATTGGCGACATTTCGCTTCATGCCGCCGTTCGCAAAGAGTACAATAGAACCAAAAAAATGCATCAATCATCATCAGTGGCATTGGCGGATGTACAAGCCTAAACGCTGGGGCGCTTTCGACATTCAGTGTCTCATCGGCAGTAATTTGTTATTCACAGTCTCCACGCCGACGTGTCTGCGAATTGATGAACTCGCATTGCGAGCCGCGATGTTGAGACCTCAACGGACCAATGTGTTTTGTATTCTAGAGGCTTTTTGTTGGCGTTCGCGTCTTTTCGTTCTGTCTTGCGTTGCGCGCTAACCACCGCTCCCACACACCCCGTTTCATTCAATTGAGGCCCTTAACTAAATCTGTCGAGAAGGCAACTATACGTTGTAGCCGCCTCTCTAATTGGAGGTGTTTTTTTTCTTCCTCGTTATACCCTAATAGTGGTCACTGGCCGCAAAGTTCGTTTACACGAGCTGATAAAAATAATTAAAGGATCGATTACAACCTCGCAGCTTAATGCTGCTATATACAACGGAGTGCGCGTGGGTTTTGGTTGTCTATGTATAACGTGTCTGTGTGTCTGTGTGTGTGTGTCTGTGTATGTGTGTCTGTGTGTGTGTGTCTGTGTGTGTGTGTCTGTGTGTGGGGAGCGATAGTGTAGCGGTTAGCGCGCTGCGCTATGAACCTGGCGACCCGGGTTCGATTCCCGCTCACGGCCAACACCAGTGACGATTATCTGAACCGGTCCCGGGCCTCCCCTAGGTCGACTCAGCCTCAAATGAGTACCTGGTGCGGTGTGTAAACATTGCCACTAGGGAGACAAAGGCGGTCGGGCGTGGTGCTGGCCACCCACCCCCTCGTGTACCGTTCCGGCCTTCATAGGTGCTCGCTAACAGCACTTGCCCCAACAGTCTGTCAAGGCTATACGGGGGATCTTTTTTGTGTGTGTCTGTGTGTGTGTGTCTGTGTGTGTGTGTCTGTGTGTGTGTCTGTTAATGTGTGTGGGGAGCGGTAGTGTAGCGGTTAGCGCTACGCTGCGCCACAAAGCCGGCAACCCGGGGTTCGATTCCCGCTCACGGCCAACACCGGTGACGATCATCGGAACCGGTCCTGGGCCTCCCCTAGGTCGACTCAACCTCAAATGAGTACCTGGCGCGGTGTGCAGTAAACATCGCCACTGGGGAGACAAAGGCGGTCGATATAAACAATTTCAACATTTCAAGAGGCGCATTGCGCTGCGGTGGTGACTACGAGACGGCGGTGCTCGGTTATCATTGAGGCTCACGAAGCGTGGCCCCTGATGACCTGCAGGTTGCCGAGTCCTGTCCACAGTAAACTGGACTCCCATGGTGTCGGTCCGTGTGTGTGTGTCGGTCCGTGTGTGTGTGTCGGTCCGTGTGTGTGTCGTTCGTGTGTGTGTGTCGGGTCCATGTGTGTGTGTCGGTCAGTGTGTGTGTGTCGGTCCGTGTGTGTGTCGGTCCGTGTGTGTGTGTCGGTCCGTGTGTGTGTGTCGGTCCGTGTGTGTGTCGTTCCGTGTGTGTGTGTCGGGTCCATGTGTGTGTGTCGGTCAGTGTGTGTGTGTCGGTCCGTGTGTGTGTCGGTCCGTGTGTGTGTGTCGGTCCGTGTGTGTGTGTCTGTCCGTGTGTGTGTGTCTGTGTGTGTCTGTGTATCTCTGAGTATCCGTGTCTCTCTGCGTGTCTGTGTATCTGTGCGTGTCTCTGCGTGTCTGTGTGTCTCTGTGTATCTGCGGGTGTGCCTCTGCGTGTCTGTGCATCTGTGTGTGCGTCTGTGTATCTACGTGTCTCTCTGTGTGTGTCTCCACGTGCGCGTGTCTCTCTGCGTGTCCCTGTTTCAACGTTCGCGTCTCCGCGCGCAGTAAGTCCACGGCCTCCCCCCCGGTATGCAAGAGAAGAACCCTCGATGTTCGCGCATCACCGCCCTTGAAAGCTAAATCCATTTAGACTCCGCAGTGCAACATCCCCAGAGGGAGGTGCGGCAGGAGCGGCGGCGGCGGGGGTGGGGTAGCGAGGGCCGTGTGACTTCAGATAAATAAACAGAAAGAAGGGATGATCAAAACAACGTGCTGACGAGGCACCGGACGCCGAGTGCTGTAATTAGGTGGGTGAGTGGGTGGGTAGGTGAGCGGGTGGGTGAGTAAGTGAATGGGTGGGTGGGTGAGTAAGTGAGTGGGTGGGTAGGTGAGTGAGTGGGTGAGTAGGTGAGTGAGTGGGTAAATGAGTAGGTGAGTGAGTGGGTGAGCGAGTAGGTGGGTGGGTGAGTGGGTGAGTAGGTGAGTGGGTGAGAAGGTGAGTGGGTGAGTGGGTGAGTAAGTGGGTGAGTGAGTGGATGAGTGGGTGGGTGAGTGGGCGATTGAGCGGGTGAGTGGGTGAGTGAGCGGGTGAGTGGGTGAGTGAGTGGGGTGAGTGAGTAAGTGAGTGGGTGAGTGGGTGAGTAGGTGAGTGGGTGAGTAGGTGAGTGGGTGGGTGAGTAGGTGAGTGGGTGAGTGGGTGAGTGAGTGGGTGAGTGGGTGGGTGAGTGGGTTAGTGTGTGAGCGAGTGGGTGAGCGAGTGGGTGAGTGAGTGAGCGGGTAGGTGAGTGGGTGACTAGGTTGGTGAGTGGGTGGGTGAGTGGGTGGGTGAGTGGATGAGTGAGCGGGTGGTTGGGTGAGTGAGCGGGTGGGTGAGTGAGCAAGCGAGTGGGTGAGTGAGCGGGTGGGTGAGCGAGTGGTTGAGCAGGTGGGTGAGTGAGCGGGTGGGTGAGCGAGTAGGTGAGTAGGTGAGTGGGTGAGTAGGTGAGTGGGTGGGTGAGTAGGTGAGTGGGTGAGTGGGGGGTGGGTGGGTGAGAGAGTGGGTGAGTGAGCGGGTAGGTGAGTGGGTGAGTGGGTGGGTGAGCGGGTAGGTGAGTGGGTGGGTGAGCGGGTAGGTGAGTGGGTGAGCGGGTGGTTGAGCGGGTTGGTGAGTGGGTGAGTTAGTGGGTGAGTGAGTTGGTGGGTGAGTGGGTGGGTGAGTGAGTGGGTGGGTTAGTGAGTGAGCGGGTGGGTGAGTGAGCGGGTGGGTGAGTGGGTGAGTGAGCGAGTGGGTGAGTGAGCGAGTGGGTGAGTGAGCGGGTGGGTGAGTGAGTGGGTGAGGGGGTGGGTGAGTGAGCGGGTGGGTGAGCGGGTGGGTGAGTAGGTGGGTGAGCGAGTAGGTGAGTGAGCGGGTGAGTGGGTGAGTGGGTGAGTGAGCGAGTGGGTGAGTGAGCGAGTGGGTGAGTGAGCGGGTGGGTGAGTGAGTGGGTGAGCGGGTGGGTGAGTGAGCGGGTGGGTGAGCGGGTGGGTGACTAGGTGGGTGAGCGCGTAGGTGAGTGAGTGGGTGGGTGAGTGGGTGATTGGGTGGGTGAGTGAGTGAGTGAGCGAGTGGGTGAGCGGGTGGGTGAGCAGGTAGGTGAGCGAGTGGGTGAGTGAGCAGGTAGGTGAGCGGGTGAGTGGGTGAGCGGGTGGGTGAGTGAGCGGGTGGGTGAGCGGGTGGGTGAGTGAGCGGGTGGGTGAGTGAGCGGGTGGGTGAGCGGGTGGGTGAGCGTGTGGGTGAGCGAGTGGGTGGGTGAGTGAGCGGGTGGGTGAGCGAGCGGGTGAATGAGCGGGTGGGTGAGTGAGTAGGTGAGTGAGCGGGTGGGTGAGCGAGTGAGTGAGCGAGTGGGTGAGCGAGGGGGTGAGCGAGCGGATGGGTGAGCGAGCGGGCGAGCGAGCGAGCAGGTGGGCGGGTGAGCGGGTGGGTGAGCGAGTGGGTGAGCGGGTGAGTGAGTGGGTGGGTGAGTTATTGGGTGGATGGGTGAGTGAGTGAGTGGGTAGGTGGGTGGCTGAGTGGGTGGGTGGGTGTGTGGGTGGGTGTGTGAGTGGGTGGGTGGGTGGGTGAGTGGGTGGGTGGGTGAGTGAGTGGGTGGGTGAGTGAGTCAGTGGGTGGGTGGGTGGGTGGTTGTGTGGGTGGGTGTGTGGGTGGGTGGGTGGGTGAGTGAGTGGGTGGGTGTGTGGGTGGGTGGGTGTGTGGGTGGGTGAGTGAGTGGGTGGGTGGGTGGGTGAGTGGGTGGGTGGGTGTGTGTGTGGGTGAGTGGGTGGGTGAGTGGGTGGGTGTGTGGGTGGGTGGGTGGGTGAGT